TTGATAATGTAAGAGGTCCCGAAAATCAGAAAGATGGGGAAATGAGTTTATTTTAAATAACATTGAATTGGATCAACCCTGCAACTCCAATATGATTTCCAGTTTTTCGCGGTTATGAGAACGCATTTTGAGTGCCTGTCTATAAAAATTTATCAAAAGCTGTTAACATAAGTTTTAATAAATTAGGAGTAACCCATGCTCGTTGAAGAAGTGTTCTTTATAATCAAGAAAATTCACTGCTTTTTTTGGGAGCATCTTTTGACAGCTTTGAATTATCCTTTTGTAGGATCGCAAGTAAAGCTTCATATAGGTGAAAGTTAATCCTCAATATCGAGTTGCAATATCTTCGGAATAAGTTTTCTTTCGTAATTGATTGGAATCGTATAGTGCTATAGGAATTGTATATTAATCCTCTTAAATTACAGTAAAAACCTTCTTAATTGAGCTGCTGAGAATCTGTGTTTTTGTGGGAAAATCGTTGTGGGTTTATCCCCTTTCCAAATATCTCACACGGATTAGCTATGCAGCAGCAAAGAACTGCACAGTTTTGTCGATCTCAAGCTCTGGAACTCGCTCGTCTTAAGCCGATTGAAATTTCTTGCCTAAAACTACTTTTCCACCTCTTATAACTCATATCTTCTTAGGATCTGGACGGCGGCGGCGGCAATAACCTCAGTCAGCCGTCGCGATATTGGCTATTATTAGTAGTAAGTTATCGCGCGGTTTTGATAAATAGAAAAAGCCCCTGGGGATGCGGCGGTAGCGGGAGCCGCCAGATGCTGAGCGCTGGATAGGGGACATGCGGCAAGGTGCGAGGGTAACGAAGGGATTTGCTAAAATACGGGGATTGAGGGAAGATGACGACGATTGCAATTTGAAGATGACCGTAATTTCCTGGTACTTGTTTCAAAAAATTACTGTCTTACCCAACTGTTTTTCCTCATTTGTTCGCGCGCAATCCTTTTTGAATGTGTAGAATAAATAAGTGATTGGTAGAACTATTGTTTTCCCAATTAAAAAAAAACAGAACAAGCACCTTCGAAATGATGACATATGAGAAAACAATTTCACTTCTATTTTCCCATAAAAGTCCCATTTCTTCTTTAATCGATACATTTGTTTACCATATGACACACAAGCTTAGTTAGATGTTCTTCATAATTATGTGAATAATTTTCCACGGCTGCTAAAATTAAAAAATTTTGTACTGCACAAAAGACTAAGATTTTGAAAACGGCATTTTACCTCTGTGTTTCTCTTGAGCCAGTAAGAAGTTTCTAGCGATAATGAGATCATTAGTTGAAGAACAAGAAAGAGGCCAAAACAAAGAACAAGAGTTTATTATGTGTAGTGGTGGAACTTACCGCACTTTCAAAGTTAGTGTTGAATGACTTTCAAATTATTATATTTATTTTTACATTGTCAGCAGTCAAGAAGGGTTAAGTAAGCAGTAATGTGAAACTTCAATTCTGCAGCGCTACAGACAGACTTGAAGATTAGGCGAAAACTTTGACAATCTTATGAGTGAACCAACAATCCAGAAAAATATTTCGTTTTGGCGTAAAAATCTTCATAAAAACTTTCCTAGTTGTTTTTTATCCACGACTTCTTGTGGAAAAGTAGCTTAAAGCTTCTTCTACCATAGGTCAACGATTCAGGATTTTCGACTATCAGTAAGATACATTTATGCCCCTATACGGCTAACATTCCAAAACTCGATTCTGCCAGTTTCTAGGATTCGTTTTCTTGCTATAACAGATGTAGAGAAGAGCAATTTGGTATTTGAATCGGACAAGTTTTCCCCAATCGACGACTTGAAAATTGTAGTCTGGTATTTTAAAATTCTTCGACCAAAAAAGCAAATTCTCGCATATTTCGCTCAATAAAAAAACTAGCGTTTCTCACTTTTCTGCCGATTTCTTTCATTGGAAATTGAATTCTACTCAAACAGATTTACATTTCATCCTTATTGAAGTGCTCTTTCCACAGATACCGGATACTGGGCAAAAAATTTCTGCGGCGTTTGTAAGAGCCGCGAAAGAGATCAAAATTATTTATTAGCCAACTTAATACCATGTGAAATATGGAAATCTAAACCTAGAAATGGAAACTCATAATGTCACATCTGTATGTATAATGTTTTATGACTTTATTTGCTTATTTAACATATTTTACATGCATAGTATGCTGTCCTTTTGAGCAAAGATTCTCTGAGAGAAGCTGGCTTCAGCCATAAATGTGCATAATGTGAAGTTGGGTCGTATGCTCTAACGAGGTCCTCCGCTTTGCAGGAAGTGCGCATCTCAATGGGGGCGAATTTTTTGAATGGTATTTTCTTCTTACCAACCAGTAGAAAATTATTATTCAACAAGATAGGTCGAAACTTCTCCAACGAAATGCAAACAGCAGAAAGGGGCTGAAAACCGCTAAAAACCATCCTCAAGAAATCCAGTTGTCATCGTTTCATTGTCAACGCTGCGCTTAGCCAACAAGGTGTCGCTGAGACTCAGATTCCACCAAGAAGACTTACTCCCCTCCCCCCCTCTCCACTCCCTCACCTTCTCCTTTAACTGAACGAGAGGAGAACAAACGATACTACGCTACTGAATACTTTCAGTTGCTCTTAAAATAGTCGGCTGCGAAGACCATGAGATAGATACAATACCATGAGCTAGCTAAACTTCACATCTAGGAGTATTGGCAAAAGCTAGCTCTGGTCTACGATCAGTCAAATTTGCCTCATCTTGGCATGAGTGATGACTACATTTTTCCGCTCCAAATATGTAGAACATAACATTAGTTGATTGACAGAATTTTATTCTTGAAAAGTTGGACTTCAGTTACGTCATGTCACATCTGTCCCTATTGAATATCATAACTCTTCTTCATCTATTCTTTTTCTTATAAGTTTATCACTACTCATTCTACAAAACTTTTTGCTTAGTATTCTCTTATGCATCAGAGTAACATTTCATTATCGTAATACTAGTTGGCAAACCCGGCTCCGCCCGGGCCTGTCAATAATATATTTGTAATCAGCATGCTTGATTACCCCCCTGTGCCAACTCCCAGCCCTGTAGCTCCAATTTTGCAAAAAATCGATAAAATCGATATCGATCGATACGAAAAGTAGCCTATGACACGCTCTCTGCCCCGAAGTGTATGTGTGCCAAGTTTGGTCCAAATCGGTTCAGAAATAAAAATCTCTATTTCCGCACATACGTACAGACAGACATACATACACACATTCAGCTTTATATATAAGATTTCAACATTTTACTTGGCTGAGAAATTACTTGTGTAGGAGGTGCTATGGTTATTGATGATAAAATGTTATATACTAACCAAAAAGTTTTGCAAGCTAAGTTCGAGCCTGCCACTAATAAAGCTTTTAAAGACGTTTTTCAATAGTAAATATTGATATGATGGGTTCTTTAAGCCTGTTTCGCCTCAAATCAGAAGCTGGTATCCTTAATATTATGTTAGTTGTAACTTCGACGAAATGGCTTCTCATTTTTCTTTCTTGTTATGTTGCATTCCAAAGAGTTGCTCTCTAGTTTATTTGGAATTTTTCCTAAAAGGGTACGTATAATTCCTTGTTAAGCTTTCGAGTTGCAAGGAGCAATGTTTTCTAAAATGAAATTCTGCCCAACAACCAGAGATTGTAATCAAGCGATGATGCAATGGGTGAAGTTTTTGATGCTCCTATGATTCAGTGAAGTTTGAAAGTCGAAATTGAATTTATCAGCTCTACAATTAACTTCTATTAATGTGACTCCTGTTAGCATTTCCATATACCATAATATGTGAAGATATCACTTTCCATTGGCAGTCCCAGGAGTTTTGGCGGGAAAGCGATTTGAATTTTTCCGCATGCTCTTCCAAAAGTAATGAAAACTCCTTATAAAAGTTTTGGGGAGCTTATCACTTCGAGATTTCCCAAGAAGGGAGTATAGCCGTACCTAACGTCAAAGGAAATAAAATTTTGCACTACTGATTTGAATTTTACAAAGAGAATTCAGTTGACCTATCGCGACTGGTGGCCCACACCTTTTGCAAAGTCATATTCTTTAGGTTTAGTATCTTTTCCATATATTGATATTTCTTCCAATTTTTTGCATTCTTGTAGGATCCGTCGTTCAAAAAGATGTTTACAGTTGTTTACAAAACAACCTTGCATTTCATAAAAACCACAAAACTCGTCCCAAAGCGCCGCCATGCAAAATTAGGAGTCGTCAATGGGTTAATTACGCTTAATAGCGATTTACCTGCACATCGAGATGTGAACCGTTTTCAAAAAGTTCGCAGTTTTCCCCTTTCCTCCTTCCTCGGCCTGTCACTGGTACTACCTTATTTTTGGAATCTATTATTAGCCTTTTTAGTTCCTTTGCTACGAAACCCATAAAGTCTGACCAACTGCCCTTGATTTTAATAGCTGCAGCTTTAGTATTAGTCAACTGCCAAGTCCTTCAGCACTATCGTCATCGATGTCGCGCGAAAAAGGAAATCCGTCATCAAAATGTAAATGAGCCTGTCATAGCGGCTCGGCGTTGACAGCAGCCGCCGTCAACGACGCGGCTCGTTGACTTTCGGAGCTGTCACTTCACAGAAACATAACTACTAAAGGGCCTGATCTGATGATGGAGGGGGGGGGGGTGGGGTAAACACAGCAAATAAGGAAGTAGCAATGATCTTTGGTTGTTAGACGCAGCACGCAACGAAGTACTAGCAAATTGCTGCTCTAATGATCTGGACTGCACCACTAAATTGCTCGAGTATTTGTGCTTTTGGTCGCAATTGCGTCTCGTTTCAAAAAAAAACGGAATTGTTTGGAAGAGGAAGTGAACAGCTTTGATGAAAAGAAACAGAAGAAGAAAGTAGACTTAATGACAAACTTCTTTAATCAATATTTGTCGCAATTCTTATTACTCATTGGAAGCTCAATAAGATTGAAAATCATGATGATAGTCTAGACCTTCGCTTTTATACCTCTTTTTTAGCTCAGTGCGCATCCGACCAGGTCCTGTCCTGTCTACGACAAGAACGATCAAAGCACGAAAATCCTGTACAGAATGTAGTTACGGTAATGGCACAAGAGCCAGCATATCTTCATTGTCGAATACCAGAAGGAACCAGTCATATGGTGAGTATTCCGCATTAGTTCATTGAACTAACAACTCTTTGATTTGCAAGTCACCCGATGATTTTTTCGCCGATTTGAATTTTTTATTCAGTATGATATACCTGAACATTCAATTAATTGCATTCTAACAAACTATTTTATGCGAGAGATGTCTCAATTGTTTTCCAAAACTTTGCCACAAATGAAAATTTTAATATCATGAGAAAAATAAAAATGAAAAAATAGAAAAATCAAAATAAATAAAAATAAATACAATAAAAATTCTTTCGCATGTTTTCTTCGTACCGTTTTCACGGCTCCTTCGCTTCCTGTATAGGCAACATAAAATTACTAGAAATTCTCACAGATGGTTAAAGGGGCTGCGTGGGATAGGGGAGATACAGAAACTCATCATAAATTGTGAGGTCATGTTCGCCTCTCAAACTCTCAGACAACTGCCCGGAATTTCGCAGCGCTTTCGCAGCATTTCCGCCGGGTCATCTGCTGAAGAATTTTGTATGTGACTTATTTTGACTTCAAAAAGGGTTTGTTTCCTTATAGCGTTCTATGTTTTCGAGGTAACTTAAGCATTAGCTCAAATAATTCACCGAAATTTCCGTAGGAAAAGCAGAATTTGCAGCAGTTCCGCAGCGCTTTTGACATATTCAAGACATGTTCGGTTTTTCACTAGCTCTTCTTGAAAAAAGGGAGGTTTCCACTAATATACCTTACTTAGGAAAACTACATATTGCCGCGAAAGGAAATTTTTTTGAATAATAACTAAAATCATTACAAATCATGAGACTTGCCCCCCCCCCCAATTCATTCACTTAGCACCTGTGCTATGTGTACACTTAACCCTCTTTCACCTCCTTGTTTATGTAAGCGTTAATTGGACTAATCAAGAATCGCCGAGTCAAGTGCCGCTCGGATACGAAGCGGCGGTGGTGCTTGACATCAGTGTGCATTCAGCCGCAAACGCATGTTTCTGGTAGAAACAATTCGGGTAATGAGGAGTGCGACGAAGCGCATGAATTTCCATGCAGAACCAGCTGAGCACAAGCTGTGCACTTCGCTGAATAATGCGCCACTGCACATGTGGGACTTGACTTCCTTGGTGGCGCACAAGAAGTTTTCGGTTGAACGAGAGGCGATGTAGGAGAAGGGATGTCTGAAGAGTGGGACGGGGGGGGGGGAGGGGCAACGAACAAAAAAGAACTAGGAGCCGGGAACTTCAAAAAACGAAAATGGGCATGAAACCACTGGAACTGAAATTATCGCGATTATTGTAGGGGCACAGTTTTGGCAATATAGTCATTCGCTTGATATGTGTATTGCACAACGCGCGCGGTACTCCACGACTTACCAGCTTGCATTTCGTCGTTTCTAGTCAGTTCTTTTGAAATCTCTCTCTATTTGAATAGATGCAAGCAAGTGTAAGTAGTTTTTATTCAACAGTTTTCTTTATTAATCAGCCTATTAAATGTTTGCTGTAAGTAGACGTAAGATGCTGCGCAAGTTGTGCAATTCACATCGAGTCAAAAATGACTCAGCTGTACGAACATGAGTAATTCTCAATGTGAAAAGAAAACAAGTTCTTTTTATACATTGCAATACTGTCCTATCTCCATAATAGGAGGAATACGAGATGTAGATCAAAGTCTTCGAATGCTGTACGGAGAAGCAATAAAATATCGGCTTCGTTCTGATTGAAAAATTTTGATGGCGTTTTCCGTTGAAGGAGTTCCAATAAAAATTATGCTCAGTTAGAAGTTGACAAAGATGTTCTCCATATTTTTTCAGGTAGCTTGGACCCGTTCATCTGATCAAGCACTTCTGACAGCAGGAGAGCATTCGTTCACGTCCGATCCACGATTTCAGGTGTCAAAAAAGTCCGATTCTGATTGGATCCTCATATTGAGGTATGTTTCTGCTAATTCTTTTGTTCACTGCCGTAACAGGCTATTATCAATGTGGAGTTTATCCAACAAATTTGTTATTTAAATTGAAATTCAAATTTTTATATATCGACTATTGATTGATAGTTATCCACTCTTGAACAAATAACGGCAATGACTCGGTGGCAGTCTTTGTCATTTTTGATCCAGATAATCATTCTCATTTATGTGGTTCGAAAAAACCGAATAAATTCGAGACAGTTTTTTGAAGTTTTGGCAAAGTAAACAATAAGACGAATGAAGTACAGTTAGAAATAGTAGTAACCCTGCTAAATCGCTTTTGACTCCACTCTTTACCTTAATCGTTATTTCTGTAAAGTGCACGAACGTTTCATAATATTATACCATAGGAAATGGTGTATTTATCACATTGATCGCAATAATTCTAAGCAAAATAATATGAAAGCATATTTTAAGCCCATGTGATTGGCCCTCTCAATAATCAAAATTTATATACAACAAAAAAATCAGAGGATGCATGCTGGATTTCATAAATGATAATTGAATTCTTACATTTTTTCGTTGTAGTTAAATTTTTCTTCATTTTTTCCACATAATTTGATTATGCGACTAACAGTTATCAGTTATTTTCCATTTACAATGGGACCATCCTTCACTCGATTTTTCTTTGATTCACCACCTATGGCATCACCCTTTCCTTGTATTTGTTAAATTGCATTTATTCAAACTTTGCCTGGAGGACGCAGAGAGGAAGTGAGAGTCAAATCTGCTAATTTCATGAATCTTTGAACTTTGAGTAAAATCAATTCTAAACTATTTTGACTTTAGTTCTAGTTCCACGACTTGAACTTACTAGCACTATAGATCATCAAGCTTCATAACCACTAGTACGGCCGATTGCTGGTTCCGCCCGGCTGTCGCTGTGGTGTCAATTCATGGACGGGGGACGCTAATGGGATGTTTGGGGCCAGGTTGCGATGTATATATCCAACCAAACATGCAAATTAACGGTTAGCACAGCACGCAGAGTGACTGAAGAGGGGAGGGGGGGGGGGGCGAAAGCAGTGTAGGGCAGTAATTTATAGGGATAGTAAAGTTTGGGAGTTTGCATGTTTATCGGTGTGAAATGACTAGTACAGCTGGAAAAGTTCTTCAAAACACAAAAATGTAATCTTACAGCATAGAGTGGACGAAGATACAAGAAAGTGAATTTTTATGAGAAAAAAAAATTAACATCTTCTACAAAGAAAAGAGGAGAGTGAAGAAGGCAACATTCATAATCGAAGCGTAGGACTCAGATCCACATCTGAATGCTCTTCTATAATCACTTCCATTTTATCAAACTTATACAATAAATAGAAAAATATTTAGAAAATCTTTTTTTTTCAAATCTATAAATAGGAAGGAGTGAATGAGTTACCTTATAGAAAAATAATTGTTATAGCTTTCGTTCCTTTTCTGGAGTATTTTTCCAAGTTGCAAGTCATCCCCAACCTAGTACAGATCGTGGACACAGTTTTTTTTCTTTGCTTCGATTTTTCGATGAATTAGTTTATTTCGTTTCCCATCAAACCCAAAATATGCAGACTTGCAATACTGTGTTCTTCTAGAATGAAGCGAAAAAACGGAAAATACATAGGATTTTAAAGCGGCTGATATATCTAACTTTCCTCCTTAAAAATCTCGAAGAAGAATGTATCTGCTTGAAACTTTTGAATGCCCGACTTCCAAAATAATTAGGCCAGATTCTTGCAATCATATAATCTTTTCAATCATTTCATGTCCCTTTTTTCGTAATAAAACCAGTGGAGCTAACAAGGAAGTGCGAAAATGAATATGTGCGTATTTGTTTGCACAGGCTGAGCTTGATCACTTCGTTTGCAATCCTTCGGAAATTAGTTGTCCTAAGGCGAAATTGTTTGATGGTAATTTTTGCTCTTAAGAGGAGGAAGGAAAAGGAGGCGAAAGAGGCGGAGAGGACCAAAGGCGAGAATTGGGAGTGAGCCTCTCTCGAATGTTACTTTCGAGGTGTGGAAGGAACAGAAGCGAAGAAAACACCGAAAACAGCTGTCCTAAAGGAATGCGTCCTGATTAACGAAAATCAAAATGGGACACGCAATATGTGCAGTTTATGCAATCGCACAATCGCGCTGTGGATATCCTCCTGAACTCAATTTTTCATAACCTTTGCACTGGCCAAAATTTTGCGTTTACCAACCATTCCTCTCCCCTTCCCCCCCCCCCCTCCCCAAGCTTTGCGCTTGCTAGCTTACACTCTTTGCAAACGTCTCGAAGGGAGCAAGTTGGCAGGTGCGCGATGATTAGCGGAGAAATTGGACTAAGGGCTCGATCACCCTTGCATTTCGTCCTCTTCCTCGCTTCGTCGTTGTGATTGGGCTCGGCTGACGAGACGGTGATGCGATTACGAATGTAATCGACTGTGCCTTCTCTTCTCTTCAAATGCAAAGAGCACTCTTGAAGGCCATGAGGGTCACGAAATTGTGAAATCGGCTGTTCTGAGAAGAGATGAGACGTTGTTCTTCATATCCTTGTGGGAAAAAATTGAATGGAAAAGGTGCGAAAGAAAAGCAAGTTTTTATCTACGTTACAAAATTTTTGGAACAAATTTCAATAATTCAAAAAATTGCTTGGGGACTTTTCCAACTTTGCAAATGAGCTTTTTGCCTTCATATAGCAACATTTAAGAAGGGATAAGTCAGTGCTTTGTGAGAGATATTATATCTTAAATCTGTTTTCCAAATAGAAACTGGTTCCAATATTTACTTAATTTGAACAAGATTCAAAAGTAAATGAAAATGTGATTTGTGTAAAAGATAAGTTTTCTCGAAATCGATCACCTTGTATATCTGAATACAACTGAGCCCTTGAATCGTGTGGAGAAAATTTGGGAGGTATTAATCTTGACGAAACCGTCGGGAGTCCATAACGTTCAAAATGATTTTCACGTGATGATTCTGATAATTAAGAAGGAATTTTTACAGGATTACACAAGATTACAGTCTACATCTTACATTCAGAACTCTCTCTTAGGCCCCGGACAGACTTCACGCGATTTGATCGTCGCGACTGAATCGCGACGAGACAACTGTTACAACATCATTTCATGCCGATCAACTTACATTCGGTTGTGATACTTTTCCAGCCCGAAATTTTTGAATGTGAAATGAAAATGAACGGAAATGTCGGCGATTGAGTCGCGACGATCAAATCGCGTGAAGTCTGTCCGGGGCCTTATAGAAAGGGTTTTCCTTGAATTACCCCGACGGAAAGATCGCAACGTTGTGGCGATATAATGAAAATCCTTTGGAAAAGATTAAAGTCTGAATGATGGTTTTTCAAATCTTTGTAAAATCCCTTTTCAATCATTAAGGGTTTCCTCAAGATTAGTATGTCGCAGGGCGTCTTTTCCACCCGAATTAGGAGCTCAGTTGTACATTATTTGGTGCGGGAGTAAATCGATATTCATTTTTTTCTACTTGTTTGGTAGGAGCTGAAAGTGATACTCAAGATAAAACCGAAAGATATCCTTTTTTTTTGAAAGAACCTTCTATGATGATAAAATGACATAAACGCATATAACTCTTCATAGAGCTTACATAAGATTAAAACCAAATGAATGGAATTGACAGGTATTATACAGTCAGCACCTATCTAATTATTGAGCGTGTGCAACCATTTGCGAGTTTGTAAGTGATAATTAACTCAAGAATTCACTTGCGCTTAAATTAGAAAACTTTCAATTTTGAAGTTTAGAAATTTTTGGTACTGCCTGCCAAGGCAGACTTGTGTTAACTACCGACTTATCCGGCTGCGCGTCTCCAACATGACATACTTTGGGTACCAAAATTGTTTTTATGACTCGCTCATAATCAAGTAACTGGCGGTACTTCGGGTAGCACTTTTTAGGAGAGGCATCAACTTAGATTCGCGGGATTGAATTTTCGGTTGCTGTTAGTTAATGCAAGCTTATAGAATAAACATTCCTACACCTCATCGTGATGGGTTAGCTGCCGTTATGAACTTCTTCGAACCCAGAACTTTTGTAATGGGCTTGTGAACGGCGTTTCATTGATAGACTTTCTGCTTTTTATAAGATTGTTTATGCAGTGCGATTAGGACTTTAGGGGACATCAAGGGTACAGCACAGTAGACGTAACCTAACTTTTGCAAGAGGGTTTACGGAAAGTTGTAAATTCATTCTTAATTAACTGCGTCAATTTTCTCAGTAACGAAACACTTTCCTAAGTCCTTCTATGGGGCAAAAATAATTATTGGCTGCAAACTCCCCTCGAATTAAGCCGTAATACTAGCTTATACCGTATTGCTACAGTAACAACGAGGAATACGTCGTAAAAGTAAGTTTAAGCAAAATTGACACAATTTCTCGAAAAAACGTTCATGTGGAAGGCCTATCAACATTGTGTACATGCCTTTACGCTATGCATGCTATTGGAAGTCTGGCCACCTAGTCAGAAAAAAAGAACTCTTAATCTCAACTAATTTGTTGTCTGGTAAAAAAAATCAATGCTAGCTTTTCAGGCGAGCAGACCTCGGTGACACAGGCTGTTACCTTTGTGAAGTAAATACGGAGCCACTGAGTACTATCTATGCTATATACCTGGATGTGCAAAGTGAGTTTGTTTCGTAGCTCAGAACTGAGACAACTGAAACTTAAGCTTGATAATTTCTGGTAATATCTATAAAAGTGCTCTGATCAGAGATTGATTGTGATAAGAGAATAAATCACCTGTTTTTAAATCTCATTTAGACTTGTCCTTAGGCCTCGGCAGACTTCACGCGATTTGATCGTCGCGTTGATCGCGAAAGACAACTATTGGGCCGGGCATACTTTACGCGATTTCAGTCGCGACGCGATTTGGCAATTCTCCAGAAGTCTTCAGATCCAACACTGGCAAACTCACATGCGTAGTGCATATCTTAGGCGAATTGATAGAATGCCCTATCTTCTGTACATCTAAAATGTGCTTACAGTGAATAACGGACAGTTGGAATATTGCCAAATCGCGTCGCGACTGAAATCGCGTGAAGTATGCCCGGCTCTTGTAACAATATCATTGCATGCCGATCTTCTTGCATTTCGGTCGTGATAGTTTTCCAGCACGACTGATCGTGTCTAACTATCACAACCGAAATACAAGATAATAGGAATGTAATGGACTTGTAACTGTTCGTCTCGTTAGAAGAATCGAAGCAATGAAATCGCGTGAACTCTGCCCGAGCTTACGCACGAATATTTATCACACAGCTGTAGCATATCTCACTTCGAACTACATTCACTATTAGAAGTAATTGCTAGAAGATGTAAAAACAAATAAACCATTAAAGACAAAAAGCCCATCAAAACGGATTCGCGAACACATATAATAGTGGACTAGTTGTGCATCTGCTAATTATTTGGGTGCCTCATAATTTTACCGTTTTTACCCCAGACTCAGCTCTCGAGAACTGGGGCAACTGTGAAAGGTACAGATACATGATCGTACTTCTATATGTATGAGCTACATGATCACTGTGTGGGAGGAGCTCAGGACTTCTAGGGGCGGAGTTTGCCGTTTTACTCCAATCATTTTTTCTTTATTTCTAACCGTGGAAAAATATGGAAAAATACGAAAAGTGTAGAATTGAGTGTTTGGTGAGTCAAGCATGCTAGAATCATTGGTAAAATATTAAGATTTTTTTTGGGACGGGGATATGGTTTTTGATAGGAAAATTCGTTTTCGAGCTATCATACTTCAGCTCAAAACTTCACATGGAATACGATTTGGGCAGACTATTGACAGCCAACTTGTAGAACATGCTTTGCTCTCTCGAATGATTACTTAAGCTACATCAGTTGATGGAAAGGTACAAAAAGCGACAGGTGATAAAAACGGTCAATAATTATGAGCCACCATAATACTTTAGCATTCGTTTCTTTTTAAGCATATGTAGGAAGTGTAGTAGAAGTTCGGCTTCATATGAGGTACCAGCTGAAGAGGTCTTGAATGAGCAGATCGTTAGCTTTGAGCATTGCTGAAAGGGCACTCTTTGATACCACTTATAACACCTTTCGAAGCATAGGCAAAACTGCCGTGCATTTTGATCAAAGTGGATGTTTTTTCTTGCTTCGGGCAATAGATTGAATTTTGGCAAGGTCAAGGAAACGTTCACGGTTAACATGCAAAAGGGAAGATATGGAAATGTAATAAAGTTAGATTTTCCTGGAAAAGAAAAAAGTGTGAATTTGCTTGATGTTCTCAAATTTTGTTGGGTCCGGATTGACGCTAAAATAAATAATGGGACCCTTTGAGGCCTTTTATTCGCAGACGAGACATAAAATTTCCATCAAAGACCAATTTGTCACTTGTGCTTTCACTGTCACCTATGTATTTTCAGAACCTCCCACCGCAGCAGTACCAAACCGACGTGAGTTCAGCGTAGATTTCCTAGATTTACTCATTGTTAGACATATGTTGCTCTTAGTAAATACTGAATTGCAAGAGGATTTCGTAGACTATGGTTGTATCTTGATGGTAACGCGCTTTTGATTCAAGATCAGCGCATAGATTTTCATAAAAAATTTTTTTATAGAAGTCAAAAACCTAATCAATCCTGTCGGATCGTTGGCTTTTCGTTTACTCGATATGTAGGGCTGGTTGTCGACAAAGGAAATTTTGCGTTCTACCCATGGAAACAGTAACAACTCAGCATATAAAATTGGCACAGGGGCAGTTTCAATATAGACTAAATTTGAAATGCTTTGTCGACTCTCCTACCATGATCTAATTTTGTTGACATCGGCGTTAACTAAATAGATTCATTTTTTTCGAAAAGAACCGAAAGGTCAAATGCAACATTATGCACCATTCAATAATTTTCCATGAAATAATCTACAGTAAAATCAACTCACTTGTTGCTTTTATTTGACCGTCATCCCTCAATTCACTTAGTTTTTCTTCCATCGCAGAATGTGAGGTAAAATCTGTGCTATTTTTGATGCTTCAACAAATCCCTGGAGCAACAATAAGTCAAGTTTTTGTGTTTATGGGGCCTCAAGTTTAGATTTTGCTTGTGCGACTTAGTTGATCAGGCGGACAATTTTATGTACGCGCTGAATTAATCGTCTCAAAAAGTGATGTGATTCTCGCTTGAGAGCGAAATCTCCTTTGTCGGTCCTGCTAAAATATAGTTCGATATAAGCCATTTTTGGAGCTAGTGCTAAATGTCAGTATACGTCAATGGCAATATCATCAAGGGTAGTAAAATAGGTAAGTTTTTAGAGTCGGACTTGGTCCTGCTACAATATCCCAGATGCCCTACGGTATACCCAAAAGGATATCTTCATTTTTTGCAGAGCGGGGTACACGTCTAATGGCAAACATGGCCGGTGATGAAGTGCTCCTGAACTGTACTGTAGCAGTTGGCAATGAGCCAGCTGACGATGACGTCATTTGGACCCGAGACGGCAAAGAGATGAATTTGAACGACACAAACAGTAAGTTAATCATCCGCTTGTGCAGCTGTGCGGCGAATTCATGCGTCGCAGCCATGGAGCGCGAAATTCGAAATTTGCATAACGAGATTTGCGCTGCGTTCGAGCAATTGACGATAACCGCTGCGTGAAGAGCGGATGAGAAGGTAATAGGATAACTTTGAATGAGGGCCATAGTCGATGAGGTTCCTTTTGAGGGGAGCAGGGAGACAGGGGAAGGTCCCGAAGATTCGATGTTTGCACGAAGGACTTTTGTTTCTACTCTTGAAAGTCTTCCCAAGAACTGCTGATTAAAACTTTTACCTTTTCAATTCTTTGATTTTGATGACGCATAATTTTCTCATGAATATTTAAATCAACTCAAAATTCTTTTTTGGCATATGGCAACGGTACAAGCTAAAAAGGAACACTTGATAGATGATTTTTTTTAAATTTAGGGTCGCTAAATTGCTAAAACGTTTATCGAAATATAAAATTATGTTCTTGTTTTTACGAGCTACCGCTTTTATTGTCTATGTGATCGGAAGTCTCTACGAACTGTTGTAACTTTTGCAATCGACTTCTTCATATCATCACAAAATTTACATCCTAGAGATTATCAAAACCCCACTACATTTGATATACTATACAACAAGGAGCGTGAATGAAATTTTGATTTGTGTTATATTTTGGTGCGGAACAACGTTATATCAGACGGAACCAGACTATGTTTGTCACGTAATTTTCTTGCTCGCTATTGATTTTTATCAATAATTTTTCCATAGAATTTTGCAGAAAAAAGCCTTAGCCCTCTAACGACATCTTCAGTCGTGATTGATGTTAAAACCTACTCAATCCATAAGCCAGGAAATATGCCTCCTTAAATGAAAAGCTCGTAAATTTCACTGTTAATCTGGACGAAAATGACTTCAACACTATTCCGTGTGTAGATCAGCATTATGTCATCAACCACTACGGGTCCCAAATCCAAATTTTGGTAGGAGGAAGAAATCAGATCTTGGTAGGAGGAAAATCAAGAAATAGAAATTCTGTTCCGAAAGTTACCACAGCTATAGTAACGACAGCTCTTTCTCATTACGACATTCTTTGAACATGAAAATTTTTCTACAACTATAGTATCAACACATGAAACTTCTTCCATAACTGAGAGCTGTCCCCTTTTGAAAGGAAATTTGTATTGCATTATTCGCTCCCAAATGCATAAACAGTCACACTATCTCAAACGCGCTGGTTAACACAATTTCCAAGCATTTGATTAAGTCGATTTAGCTCTCACTACGGAAGGATGTTCAGTCGAAGTAGCCTTTTAGAAACGAAGCATATTTTGTTGAAGGGCATTCGAACGCTAATTCCGAATCAGTTTTCCTTATCTGCGGAGCGCCTCTGAACAAGTACCCTATTTTCAGGCGTATAAGCCGCGGGGTTCTTTTTTAAATCGACCAACCCAAACAGGCTAAAAGACCACGCGACCAGAGATCGCTTTCCGGATTTGACTCATAAAACGCTCATAACTTAAAGGCGCTCCGAAGGTAAGGAAGACACAGTATGCATTGCAAAATCAGCTGGAAAGGTCACCTCGACTAAGGATTCTTTCCCTATAAGTTCGCTGAGCCTTTGCGATGAGTGTGTTGAAGGCGCTTAATCCAAACCCCACCTGCTGATTATGCGCTAAATCCTGAAGAATGCGCTTAAAAAGTTCACCGGCCTCGCCAACTCTTATTGAGTGGGCGGGGCCGGTGGAGTTTTGGAGCGCATTTTTCAGGGCTTAGCGCATGGGTGTACTGTGGGGGGGGGGGCTACTACCTAAATAGAATAAAATTCGAGAGGGGTCATTTTGTCGATCCACTGCCTTTGATGACGAGTTCGTGAGTTCGTGTGCATTGCCTGGGGATCATCGCAACTACGATAACAACTACGATTTCGCCTCGGGCCGGCCTTCCTTAAAGGCAGCGTTTGGGCAGATACGAATATGTAGAGTACAGGGGCGCCTCCTGGTAAGGCTGTTGCCCGACTGGCAATGTACCGGTTTGCTTCTGAAGCGAGATTTGCTTCAGAAGTGGCGACCGGAACGCACCGGCGACCGGGACCAGCTAGCTCGATAGGCCAGAGTGCGCATACCGCACACAGTCAAGACGTAGGGTCCCACAAAGACAAAGGTTTCACATTCAAAGAATGCTTGAAGAAGGGAGTAGCCTTACAGCTGTGACCAGCCTTTGAACAAGCTGTTTCCAATCAATGGAATTGGAGACCGCTTTGTCTAAAGATATAACGATGGCCTACACACAGAGTATTAGTTTTCTAGACAATTTCAGTCACGGCAGAGTAAATCACCACTACAGCTATATAGCCACCTTAGGAATCTCCTAAAGTGGCTATATAGCTGTAGCGCAGCTGTAGATTATGTCCATATAAATCGTCAAAATTCTGCTTTAGAATACATTTGGAAAGTAAAACGCTCGGCAGGAGTCATTGTGCATACAGTTCGAATTCGAGAGGCCACGATGGAAGATGATGGAAACTATGCTTGCGAGAGCAGACATCAACGAGCAAGCCAAATCGTTCACGTAAATAGTAGGTTTTCTTAGTTGGAGAATGATGTTTTTGTTAGGTAATAAAATAAGCAGCATTCAAGGAGTGGCGGAGGCGCTTCGTAAGATGGATGCTGCTTATTTTATTTTTTGAAAAAAAAAACAATAAAAACAAGTAATAAATGAATGAGGTAAAGGTTCGAGGACGAGGAAGCAGTCAAGTCAGTCTTTGCAAAAAAAAACTTCGCCCCTTTTTGGGAGATCTTATGGTTTGATTTGAGCAGTTTTATATGATTCGCGATATACCTTCGATAGTCTAGAGGTAAGGAATCAAAAGTGAAGGTTATTTGAGTATCTGACCCTCATAAAAAGTGAAAGTTAGCGAAAAACGAAGAAGCTTTTGAAAACCTAATAAGAAGCCGCACTCAGTAAATTTTTCATTTGGCGCATTTCGAATTGTATGTTTTCGCTACAGGACCAGGCAATCCACAGCACGGGGGAAAACGAGTGAAGGGTATAGGCGATTCATAGTACGCAAAGACTGCGGACATACCGGCGTCTCCGTGCTCTGCGCTCTTTCGTTTCTCTTACCGTCTGCTGTCTCTCCCATGCACGGGCTATTTTGCTCGGACCGCTGAGATCTACACCAGAGCCAACGGATTTGGCTTTGGTGTAGATCTAAGCGGGATCTTAACGAAACCCTGCAACATTATCATTGTGATCATCATGACATGACCAAAAGCACTGACAACGTCGAGGATGTTGAAAATCACTCCATAACGAGATGAACCAACATTCATGGCGATTCTTCTAAGATTTAAGCGCAATTTCTCGTTTTTATTGAACTCCAACAGTTTTTGTGAACTTCTAACACTCAATCGCAATCGTAGTTTAGGGTTGATTGAAAATTGTCGTGCCAAATTCTAGGAAGACTTTCGAGTAAAAACCTTCTTTTCAGCAGAAAAGGCTACAAAAACGCAATATTTTTGTTTTTGAGCTTTGGTCAAAATATCACTGACTATACTTGCCTCATTCACATTCACTTCTATATGGTTAGGTCATAATCTCCGAGGCTTCGCCCCGGATGATTTCTGTTCTTTCCCTCAGGTGAAGGTTGTTTTCTATCATGACGCTCAAAATGAAGGTTACCAGAGTAAATGACTATATGTATCGAAGGTCTGCTTCGCGATCGAACCCTTTACTTTCATCACAGTATCTGTATCCTGACGGCTAAAAAACGAACGAACCGCGGACTAGTTTCGCTACCATTACGATTATCAGTTTATTTTACCAATTGTATACTATTTTTCAGAAGCAGAAGCCCAGCGGAGTTGTTCTACGCCTTTGCTGACTTTGCTCAGCTCATTGGCCCTCGTCATGGCTGCCCAGAAAATTTTATGACAGCGATATCTGATCGGCAATTATCCACTGAACATATTCATTCCGCTCAACCTGGCGACATTATCACCGATTATCACAACATTTACCCCATGATAATTGATTCATACATTTTGTTGTTGTTCAAAAACTCTGCCGCGATCTATGGGAAAACAGTATTTTTGTTTTGTTAGTTTCTTGCGACTTTCAGTGAAGGCGCATTGAATGCTAGCGCCTCACATAGGGTACAATCTTGTGAACGTTCTCTTTTGATTTTACGATCTTTCATTCAATTCGCCCGTGTTTGTCTTATCACTTTGTTGTGCATTTGGTTTTTATAGAATGTAAATGAACGTCTCAGGCTCTAAGTTGGTTTGATTTTATGCAAAATTTGCTATATTTGCGTTCGCTTTTGATCTCATAGTCTTTTATATTTAAGCAAAGAGATAGTCGAAGTTGAAGGGGACGAGGAGTAGCTTGAAGTCTACTCCAAAGGACACTCACCATACGTTGAAGGCTCCGGGCAAAATTCAATTTTCTTAAATTTTTGCTGGATTTATACTTCACTAGCTGGCAAGCCCGGCTCCGCCTGGCCCTGTCAATAATATATTCGTAATCAGCATGCTCACATATGCCAACTCCCAGCCCCGTAGCTCGAACTTTTTAAAAAATCATCGATCGATGACGAAAAGTAGCCTATGACACGCTTCTCGCCCTGAAGTATATGTGTGCCAAGTTTGGTCCAAATCGGTTCAGAAATGGAATTTTCTATTCGGAACATACGTACACACCGCCATACAGACAGACATACAAACAGACATTCAGCTTTATATATTAAATTACAAATGAGCGGAATTTCTCATGAATTATTTTTTGAATTCATTGTTTCGCTGCAAACTGTTCTCATATTCTGAACCGCTAATCTAGAGGAAAAAGCCATTGTAAAACGCTTTAGAATCTGCTCTTTTTTCTAGTTTTCATGAAGGTTTTCGTTGTTGCAGAGAATTCTATCACTCTGTGGCTCCATATCTTGAAAAGACAGCAGAACAAATGTGAAGTTTTCGTTTTGCCTTAATGATCAGGCAGAAAAGATTCCTTTTGAAAGATATAATGTTTGCGGGGGTCTCGTGCTATGAAATGCTCATCAGGGTTTAATCTTATATATAAAGCTGAGTGTCTGCTTGTTTTGAATAATCTTTGGACTTACTTAAATCTGTAGCACAAAGATAACCTGAAATGACATCCACGAAAGTCCCCGCGAAATGGGCTTTTCGTGCAAATAAAATGGACTTAGTCCATGCGGTGCGATAAGATATCGCATTCGCGAAACCATTCATTCCATACAAAACTTCTTCAGCAAACCTTTACTTGCCTCAACCTGTTTACTCACTCTTGCAAACTCATTTCCAGCGATCGATATCTGACTAGGCTGTCCTAATATTACAATGTCAATCACATAAATTTTTTATCCTTTCCCCTTCGTTACACCTCACAAAATACCATTTATTATTGGTGACTATGCTCTAAATTACCTTCAAGAATAAAGTTCATACAATATCCGGGCCTTGCCTCTCGATACTTTCACGGATCTGCAATAAATCAAATTCGTATGTAGAGCTCTCTGCGGAACGCAAACTCTACACTTGCACTGCAATCTGTGAATCAAAATGCTTATCTTGTAGAAAACCTTGTACTACACTACGGCCCAAAGGGTTTTTTAAGTCGGAAAAACTACGAATCTGCAAGAGATGGCTTTGCAAATTTCCTACTATAGCTCTTCTTTGTCTCTCAGCACTAATGTTTATATCTCTAATGTAAGTAGTTGAGTGTATGGACTTTTAAATGGACTTTTCGCATGATTCTTTCGCAAGCTAGACCTCAAGTAGAGTTGAATCATTTTCATCACACCGCTTTGTTTCGTGGTTGCGATGAGATAAAAATTTTTGAGTAACGCTAGCGAAAGCAGATTCTGACCAATTTCTACCGCGAACGAATAAAATGGGGTTTGGAAGTCCGTTTTCCTCCATTATGGACTTTCGTGGATATCATTCCTGATGTGTACTCCTTATAAGTCGATTAAAAGTTCTAAGCTCACTACAATCATGGAATGCTTAATGTAGTGAACAGGATGAGAACATTTGATACTGAAATAACGACATACATTTTCGCGGTAGTCACCAACGAAGAAATCGATAGATTCGGAAAAATACATCTCAGAAAGAGCAAGGTAAATGGGTACTTTTGCATATTTTGCAAAAATTTCGATGAAGTCAGTGCTAGTAGTACAGTGCTGGACAAAATTATAGGTCCACTCTAAAAAATGCCATAACTCACTCTGTTGTCAAAAAAAGGCTCCAAAATTTGGTACAGCCGTGCGTTTACCGGCCTATCATCAGTCAACAAAATGGGTTTCGTTTTCGTTTGGTTATTCAAGAAAAATCAAATATTTTGAAAAAGCAGGCTTGAAGGCTAGTCAAAATTATAGGTCCACCTGGAGTTTTTACTGATTGAAGCACTTCCTAACCCAAATTTTTTTGGGTAGGTTTAGGCCGTCCGCGCTGCGCACGGAGAGCGACGCTGTTGCGTACAATGAAGGCAGTTCACGACTGGAAGAAGCGCAGAGAAAAACAGGCAGCGGGAGTGCACGAGGAAAGAGGGTACGCGCAATACACACCTTGCGCATTCTCCGCACCCTGCGCGGACGGCCTATACAAATTCAAAAGTGTTAAACAGTTGCTTTAGTAAGCTGTGTCACACCTCCAAAAAAACCGATTATTTATTTGTTTTTTTGCCTTGAAAATGCCTACACATGTACTTCGTTCCAGAAACCTGCGTTGAATAAGAAATTCTGCAGTTTCTCAGCTAGATCGAAAGCCACAGGGTTTCATCTAGCTTCTGGATGCTTTTTGACGTGAGCGCTGAGGAAAAAATCTGACTTCTTATTGCTGAAGCAAATCCGACATTGACAATACTGCAATCCTGAGCTCAAATTTCTGCCTTCAAACTTCTTTTACAATGTCCACAGAAGCACTAAGTAAAGTAAAGGCATTGCTTCTACGAACGGGATCCGCATTCCATGGTTACGACTTTCCAGAGATCCTAGCATTCAGGTATAATTACTGGAAACACCCTGCAGGAACTGATTACGAAGCACCAAAGCTACTTGTGGCTCCGATCAAAACTTTCAGGAGAATCATTGCTAACATACAATACAAGTTGTATCACTAATTAGTGAATAAATTACCGTCAAAAACCTAAGTGAGGTAGCACTTGGCAAGCTATGCTGGAAATGAGTAACACCATCATTACGTTGCACAACTCATGTTTTCGAAAAAGAAGCAAGGAAGCTTTGTGAAGACTTGCATATATGGCGGAAGTTTTATTCTTGTGTAAAGAAAGCTTCTACAATATCTTGAGGTTATGATGATGATGTATTAAGGGTTTTAGGGCAGAAACTGAGGCTTACGCTCCCGATTAAGTCGATGTCGGATTTGCTTAAGCAGCAAAAAGTCGGATTTTTTCCTCAATGCTCACGTTGAAAAGCATCCGAAAGGTAGACGAAATCCCGTCGCTTCTGATCCTGCTAGCAGAGTTTCCTACTCAAAGCAAGTTTCTGAAGCGAAATACATGTGAAAGCACTTTCAAAGCAAAAAAAGCAAATAATCGGTTTTTTTGGAGGTATGACGCAGCTTGACTAAAGCAACTGTTTAACGCTTTTGGATGTGTACCTACCTACAAAAATTCGGAAGCTGAGAAGTGCTTCAACCAGTAAAAACTCTAGGTGGACCTATAATTTTGACCAGCCTTCAAGCCTGCTTTTTTCAAAATATTTGATTTTTTCTTGAATGACCAAACGAAAACAAAATCCATTTTGTTCACTAATAGTAGGCTGGTAAACACACGGCTGTCAAATTTTGGAGCATTTTATTGACAACAGAGTAAGTTATGGCATTTTTTTTAAAGTGGACCTATAATTTTGACCAGCACTGTATTGTTCAGCTGACTGTTGTAATACGAGACTTGCAGACCAACGGTTCTAGATGAATAAAGTTGGTCTAATCTCCAATCAGAAGTCCTTTTGGGTGCTGACCCTATCATAGTGTATGCATAATTGCCAAAAATCTACAGATGTCTCACAATTTATCACTCAGTCTACATTTTGAAAGGGAATTAGGGATCGAAGTTTCGACAACGGGCAGCGATTTTGAAATAACACAGCATATTAGGTTGTTCCGAAAGTTATTTTCAAACTAGTGCGACATCCCGCAGGTACCTTCAAAGTGTGGGTACTCCAGCAGCTGACGCAGCTTTTCATCTTTTTTTTCGGATATCATTTTTCCTGTTCCAGTTTGAGCAAGAGCTTTAATATTGAGTTGCCTCTAAAGTTTTTTTCAATTTTAAAATTTACAGCAATAAGTCACGCACTTCTCAATTCTGATTAGAATGCAGGGTACTATTCGATAGAGCAAAGCAAGCTCTATAAGAAGACATGCGAGTGTTCGCACCAGCTTCAGCATATCACGAGTTAGAAGCCGAAATCTGAGAACTTTTGAATGCCCAAAAGTGGAAATCTTCTATAACTGTGTCCAAAGAAAACTTACCGGATCCCCTCGCTCACGCATATGCAGTCCACATGAGACATTCATATGTGCCGTTGCCGTATTTGATTCTGTGCTAGAAACCGAGAAAACCAGGACTTTCAAGCTTCCAAAAAAGCGATGCTGCGCTGTATTCACACAGGCAGATGTTACTACAGGGCATATTTGGGCATTCAAAAGTTCTCGCATTTCGGCTTCTAACTCGTCACATGCTGAAGCTGGTGCAAACATTCGCATGTCATCTTATAGAGCTTGCTTTGCTCTGTCGAACGGTACCCTGCACTCTGATTGGAGTAAAGAACTATGCGACTTAATGCGGAAAAGTCAAAAATGAAAAAACTTATGAGACAACCTAATATAATCAGAAACGTCTTTCCCATGGTTTTTGCCATCGCCAAACTTTGCATTTTTTTTCTAATTTCTTGTGCGGATTTCCTAAGCAGTCCAGGTAACGTATGGATAGAACCCTATAGGTTAACAGTTTTCTCTCCTTTCCATAACTCATCATAATTTTGGATAGATATTTTATCAAAGCCGTATCCTAGCAAGCCTGTCTCAGACACGAACGCAACAAACACTAATTTGATTTTCAACACGTAATGGTTCAAAACCGCTTTCACAAAGCATAAGCGCGTTCAAGAATTCTAAATCAAATTTCGAAGTTTCTGGGTTCTGAGGCGCGTACAGATGTAACACGAAAA